AGAAAATTACACTTTTATCTGGGTGAATCTAATCTACTTTAAAGACTAGGTATTAGATCAGTGCATAAATTTGAATACTTGCTGATGGCTGACATTTTTGCCAGATTCGTAAACTTTTCTGGTGCTGGTATCTGTATCAGAACATCTGTGTCTGCCTGCACCTCTCAAACTTACACATTATACCTTATTTGTTTAATTATTACATAAACCATAGTCTAAAATTATCACTGTGTGGTTTTATGTAAGGTTATGTAAGTGCCAAACTACCGAGATAACCAGCAGAAATAAAATCCTAAGAATATACATTAGCTGCTCTTTTTACTTTTGCTTTTTGCTCATCTTCAAAAAACAGTATAACAATATAGTGCTGGCTGCACTTTGCTCCAAAGTGTTGAACTATTCCTTTACAGAACGCTGAAAGAACTTTCAATGCTTTATTTTTCATAGTCAAAGAGAAAAGACTCAGTGCCTCTATCATAAACCTACCAAGAACAGATGTTGACTTTATTTGACAGTGTGAAAGGGGGGGTGACGTGTGAAGCCTCGGTCTGTTGTTGACTTTTTGACATTTCATGCTGCAGTTATGGCTGAAAATGATCTTAGCTTTTTTCTTAGCACTTTAAATGAGTAAGGGAATACCAATCAATCACAGACAAGAAACACGATCCATCCAAGAGAATAAATGCTTGATTCTGTTTTACACCCTTCGCTAATCCCCGGACCACAAACCTTTGACCTCTGTGACCCTGCCACTTCATCTCATTCCAGGGAAACCTGACGGTGCCTCATCCATCATCTACAAGAGACATGGAGCTCACATGGAACCAGATACTAATCGCAATCTAATCTCTGATCCACCCTGAGCACTACACAAGCCTGCACATTTACATACATATAAAACATACGACTACAAACATACTTACAAGGGCACATGTATGTCCCTACACACAAATCCCTACTCATAAACCTCAACTCTTTGAGAAACGGTATTACATGTATGGTAGATTGCCACCCAATGAAAGAATAATGGCTGTTGGGCCTGTTACAAGGTGCCTTGAACATTGCAGTTAGCACTAAATACATGAAAACGTAAAGTATAAACAGTAAAAAAAACATGCATAAAAAAATATGAATATTAAATTTAACTACTAGTTTGTTTTCTATTAGTAAATATGTTGTGAAAGAAGATATTAATTTTAGAAACGTATGTGCTTGAACTCAGCACCTGAGGGGAAGCTAAATGAAATACTTGAAGGTAACCAGAGACGGCTCTTGTCTAAGCCCTTGACGTCTGGTGCCTTGCTCAGAGGCTCATGCGTAAGCAACAGCAGTGGTGCTGTCATTGTCCCAATCACCTTTCAGACTCCAGTCAGCCTGTAGGCCATACGTGTGCAGGCAATATGTCTGAATGTAGATGAGTCTATCAGTTATCATATGAGAAAGTGTTTCCACTGTACACAGGGCGAACATGTCATGTATCAAAGGTCACATTTTTAGGAACAGAATAGCTCCGTTTTTTTATTGATGCTTTACAAAACCTAACTGATGTTATACAAGCTGAGGGTCTCACATTACCGAGAGCCACCCTCCGCAGAATCCTAAACCACTCTCGTCTGCTTTGAAAATGTACAGTCTGCTTTCTAAAGCATTGGGCAGCAACTCAGCAATATCTCCCCTAGCCCCCGAAAAAGGAGCTGTGCTGTTACACACATGAGGAGTTGAATTTGAGCTGGAATTTTACGTAGTTGCTTCAAAGCGGAAAGAAGGGGAAGGACGACAGCTTGTTGGTTTTGGGGGGAAATGAGGGTCAGCAGAAAAAACCCCATGTTGTTGCATAGAGTCCTGTCGCCCTGAATGACACACGGAGAGATTCAGTTCCTCGCGCACTGTGTACACGAAGCAGTGGCCTAGTTTGTGACAGGATCAGGGCATTACTCTTAATCCACCAGATACATGTCATATGCACGCACGCGCACACAAACTCGCTGAGAAAAATGGTGGCGAGATCGAGGTGGAGAGAAAAGCTCAGTGCACTGCTTGGATTGTTTGCACCAGTGGTTGTATGCAGAATGCACATATGGTGCAGTCACATGCAAGGTTTCCAAATATGCACATGGGATACTGTTCCAACTGACTGCATCTTAATACCCCCTGTGGTGTCTATGTGGGAGCAATTGTGTAAAAGGTATGTGATGGTCTTTCTGTAGTAAAATGAATAAGTAGAGCGCATATCAATCAATCAATCTGCAACAGATTTCACACACTCATTAAAATCAGTTCCATAAATATGCCAGATTTTTTTCATCAAGATCCATGAATTACTCCCTGGGAGAATGGTTGACATGATGTAATGTAAAATGTAATAAGGGTTCTTAATAAGGGTAAAAACCTTGCCACTGTCCTGACATACACTATATGGCCTCTCCTTTCTATCTCCTTTTAGGCTCATAATGTACTCCATTCATTTGCTGTGAACTTTGAGTGAAGCACTGACTAAATGTTTTTTTTTGGTGTACGTTTAAAATTTCAATACACGGCAAGGGAGATGAGCGCCAAAGATGTCAGTGTCCCAGCAGCCTGTTTGTATTCTTAACATCCAAATCTCCCAGCCCCTGCTGTTGATATTAAAAGAGGCACTGCACGTCAAACACAGAGATAAAAAGAGAAAAGAACAGCCTTTCCTCCCTTTTCCCCCCTGAAGCCCTGTGTCCCTCCTTTCTCACCAGATTATGTGTATGTGTCGAGAAGAGGTGGAGAGCGGGCAAAGAAAAGAGCAATGAGACGGAGGCGGGGGGGGGGAAGAAACATAGACAGAGGAGACAAACTGCAAAATCACTTCCACCCCCGTTGCATCTGTGCTGCTCCTCTAACCCTCACAGAGGAAATTTGGGAGCATCGTCGTTTTGATGGATGAGTGGGTCTTTACTGGGCGACCCTGAAACTCACACTGGAGACAAGAGGGCAGGAGATCTAGAGGAATACAAGAGTGGTTTGTGGATGTGTGTGATTTTACTGGGCTCTGTGTGAGTGCGTTCCTTTAAAACATTGTGTGTGTGTTGGTGATGATATATGTTCAGTATCTCACGACCATGAGCTTGGAGCAACACTGCGTATTCTTTCCAACCAACCGACAACTGGCTGTACTGGCTGCATGTTGTCTCTGCTTTGCATTCATTGTTTAATATACCATGACACATTGCCATTGAAGAAGCCTTTTTTCAAAATAGACACCATTATTACTCAGCTAATATTGGTTTTTGCTATTAAAGCTAGGGTCGGTAAAAGCTAGCAGGAGCAGGCTGCACTTAAATAATGAACGCAAATTGCCTATCATCAAATCAGCCAACCGTCTCTGCTTCAGTGGAGTGTAACATTGCTAGAAACTTACATTTTGGATAATGTAAGTGAACCTCATCTAGTCATTTCTGTCATTTTGTGAAGAATTGTTACATATTATATCTTATAGTGAATCACTGTAGCGTCCTGTAACAGAAGAGGAGAAGGAAGTAGCGCTGCTCAGAGGGTCTATTCTAACCTCTTCTCTTGTATACACAACAATGGTTGAACCTCCTGGCAAGCGCCCATCATTGTCACCCACTCCTGGCAAAAGACCATGTTTGGGGGCACAGTAAATGTACATGTAGTCTGCATGGCCAGTCTGTACAACTGAATTCTTCATTCCTCCTCCTCTGTCTACTACGTCTTATTGTCTCCCTACACCTCTGTTCTCATGTCTTTTGTCCTTCGTCTCAGCACGAATCATTAACAGTGTTATTAGATTCAAAGGCTCAATGCTAATCATCAACCTGACAAATTGACTGGGACATCATGCAGTGCCAGGACCCACTCTTACCAATGTGGACACTAATACAGTCTGTTTAGAACCACAGGAGTATTGTGTAAAGATAATATGCTGGTTTCAAACACATGGATTATCTCTTATCTGCAGGTTTTGGGAAATCTGAATATGGTGGCTAATTATACACAACATAACATTTAGAATATAAACAACCTTCTCAAGCTTCTGCTCATCATATACTATCTATCTTCAGTTTGAGTCATAAGGTAGTTAGCCTGAACAATAATTAAATAACTGGACTGAACTGATATCTGAATGAACTCACAGAGAAAAACATTGGACGAGCCCTAATAAGTGATCTCACACACACGTGCACACACACATGCACATTTTGGACACAATCACACAGGCAGTGGAGAATTTATCTGATTTGCCATATGCTGTCTATCCGTCCATGCCAAATACTGGGATGGACCAAAACAGCTGGCCTCGTATCAAACCTGCCTCCTAACACACGTGTGCAGATCATCACACACAGACAGGAGGGAAGTGATATCAGGGGTGGAGCGTTAAAGACAATGTCATGTCATCTCAACCCTGTGTGTGTCAACGCACAAACAGTTAGTGTGTTGAAATGATGTTTATAATTGAACTGCTTCTTTATATGCAGGTACACATGTGGGTTTGTGTGTGTGTGTGTTTGTGGTTATTTTCAAACTAATGCTTATTCGTTTTAAAACGCTATTCTAACTCTATAACTGATATTCTCTGTCCATACTAATACACCTGGAAATACGGTATCGTGTGACCATTCAAGTACACTGGGCTTGTGCATGCCAGTGTTACCAGGAAGCAGATTGTCTACTCTGCAGTTGGTTGCTTGGTTAATATGATAAAAACAAGGAAACACTATGATGAGGGTTTATTTTTCTTCGACCAACAATGAGGTGGAACCTGACATTAGTGTTGAAGTGAAAGCAGGTGACAGCGCCATGGTTACCAAACAATTCTCCTTGTCCGTCCATACAAGGACACAGCTGTAGTTTTAAAACCAGAACAGCAGCAGCATTTCCAGGCTCAAAAACTCTGAAGAAGCGTGGAGCGTTCTTGTAACCATAGCAGCAGTGATGTGTTTTGAAACTAAAATGTAGAAGTGTGGATGTCCCCAGTGTGTGTGTGCTGGAATATGAAAAGTACTTACAATCAGCATCAGCGAGTAAGAGGAAGCTAAGGAGGAGCAGGCCTGGACTGGCAGAGTGCATCATGGGATATGTCGACACATGCATGCTGTATCCACCGTGAGCTCACTGCCTCACTGTACAACAGGACGATAGAAACAGGCCCTTACAACCTAGGGAGAGAGAAAAGACAGGGAAAACGGAAACATTAACATCCTCTCAAACTCCGAATTAAAAGAGATTCAGACATTATACAGTCTGTGTGTATAGAGAGACACACACACACACACACACACACACACACACGTACACACACACACAAACACAAGCATGCAGACGTGTGTGTTCCCTCTAGGCCTTACACTCCAGTTATGCAGCTGCTTCGCCTCTTCTCGCTTCATTAAGACCATACACTCATTGCCGGAGGTGTGTTTTGGTGTGTGTGTGCGTGCCTGTGTGCAAAGTTCACAAAGTAGCTAATGAATTTCAACTTAAAGCAAACATTAAGCATAGAACCATCAGTCGACTTCTCTAAAGTTTTTTTTCCATGTCTCCCGTAAGCATTGCCCTCAATTTTTCTGCTTTTGGCTTTTATCTGTTATACAATCTACGAAGCCAGCCGCGTTTCAATTCCAGATTCTTTTCATACGTACGTCAAAATGGCATCATTTCAGATTGATGAGAAGAAGTGAATGGCTTTAAATGGAAGGGTGGAGTGAGGGACTGATGGATGATGGGCAGATTAAAGTGGGAGGAGGCTGACTGCTGTTGTCTGCGAGCTATGTAGCACACAGCGTTGGATCAACATACAGCTCAATGTCTGTCAATCATCCTTCGCTCTCTTCCTTCCTTTGACTCTCTCTGCCTCTTCCTTCCTGCTTTCCTCCTCATTACACTTTCATCCTCTACTCACACCTGTTATGGCAAGTTTCCTTTTTGCAGTTTCCTAAATATTTCGTCCTCAAATTTAAATTTCCTTTATCTTGTCTTTTACTGCTACACTCTCCCTCGATTCCTCATTTCTTCTTAACTTCAGTCAGATTTTTTTACTCTCCCCTCTCTCTCTCTGTCCGTCTGTCAGTCGGATCCACCCGTCTCCCCACCATCTGCGGCGCCTGGTGTGAGTGTCTGGCATTAAAAGATACCAGGCGTCAGTCTTTGTGTCAGAAATCTCACCGCTCAAATCACGTGACCCGATGAGACATGGCAGATCACTGCTGCTGTCCAGAAACTGACAGCGTGGAGTGAGAGGCCCTGAGAGCGAGCGAGCGATGAGACGCAATGTGTCGATGTGTATTGTGCATGAATGATTGTGTAGGCCTGCACTGGATTGTGCATGCATATGTGGCAACTCATGCATAAGTTGATGCCTCTGTAGTGCATGTATCTATGTATATATATTCACGGTGACTGCCTAAATTGCTTGTATATAAACCTGTGTGTGTGTGTGTGTGTGTGTGTGTGTGTGTGCTTGCAGCTGGATGCTCCATGTCGTGTGTGCGTGCATGCGTTTGTGGGCTTTCCAAAAGTGGACAGAGTCATCAGCAGTGGCAGCAGCAGTCTTAATCTGCTCCACTCCTGAACAAGCCATCTGATTAAAAAAAGACAAAGACGGTGGGGGCAGAAGAACGCTGGACCCGGAGCTCATCGCATCCCTGCAGCCAAGGCAGCGAGCAACTAAACCCACAGTGGATTTTCCACTTGGTTTGGTCCAAAACAATTGCTTTGGGATAACCTAGATCTCTCCCTGTGCAAATTAAGTACCCTGTGCTGTGATTTACAGTATCCAGCAGTATGTGTAAAAGGAATTCACCCACCTACCCACAACCCAGTAATTCTTTGTCTATTCTTTAGCTTCGGGTGTCTATTACATTTTATGCTAGTTTACAAGCGGCCATTGAAAATCTTTGTCGTTGTACAGTGTGTAAAAAATATCTTCACTTTCACAAGCTTTTTAAATTTGTTTATTTATTTATTTACATTTTTGCACTAATTTAGTGAACAATGCTCACAGCACCATGATCCCTACATAATGCACTATACTGTATATTTTACTGGAAACTTGGATAAATGCCATTAAATTAATTAATGTGCTTATTTGTCTAATAAAGCCAACATTTGTGATGAAAGATTAATATGGTTAAAGGCATTGAACTAATAAAGAAGGTTATCTGCTTTGGTAGGTTTGTGCGTGTGTGTGTGTGTGTGCGTGTCGTTGTGTGCAGCTGTGTGCGCACTTGTTTGTGTGTGGCCACTAATCACTCGGCCTGATTCAATGTCACTGGAAAAGCTTGCATTATTTAGTATCTCACTTCGCAGCATGTCACGTTAATTAAAGAGCTAAGATAACAGGGAGAAAGAGAGAGGGAGACTAATGAAGAGGAAGAGAGAGAGAGATGAGAAGAGGTGTGTGGAGGGAGGAGAAATGAAAGCAGGGTGGTAAACAGAGCTATGAAACAGAGAAGAAAAGAGAACTGGGATGGAAAGCAGACAATAAGAAGATAACCTGAGCCACACACACACACACACACGAGGAGAAATGAAAGCAGGGTGGTAAACAGAGCTATGAAACAGAGAAGAAAAGAGAACTGGGATGGAAAGCAGACAATAAGAAGATAACCTGAGCCACACACACACACACACACACACACACACACACACACA